GAGTCGAGCGCCTTAACCACCTGGCCATGCCGGGCCATATGTGTTGTAAAGTATTGAACGCTGTAATCTGCAGTTTACATTGCTTAGGTAAAACAGGCATGAGTAACATTGATCGTCATAAAACACCTCGAAAATCTGAAATATATATATTATTATTAACATTCTTATATGTATGTCATTTTGTTCGTTTATTGTGTTTTGGTTAGCATTGTGAACCAAAATATTGGTTTATTTTAACATTTGGTATGACCTGAAGTAACAAGTAAGTTCCTGAATTTCTCATTAAATGAATTACTTTATATTAACAAAATGAAGGGGTAGATATTTTAACTATATAAACATATTGCGTTACCAAATAAATGGGCAGTGAAAATTAGTTAAATAGAACGTGGTACAAATGCGAGTTAGCCTAGGCCTAGCTGTTACAATAAATTAGATTAAACCAAAATGGTCTAATTTAGGTTATTTTATAAATTATCAGATGTTGTAATACATGTTCTTAAATGAAAATATAGGTAACTTAGCCTATGCTATATTGTTCTTAAAGCAGGTACAGGTGGCTAAGATTTAGTGAATTTCCAAAGTCAATTCATTGAGTTCCAAATTATCCATATACCTAGAGTTCAAACTTCAGTATGTTTGACGGACTTACTAACTTTTTTGCATTAATTTCAGTGTTTTTCTAATCATTATAAATATATATGATCCTTATTCTTTTGTGTGTCTTTTTATATTTTTACTTCTGTATTTTTCAGATTCCAAAATGAAACGTGTTCAATTAAGTGGTGCACAAAAAAGAACCAACAAAAGGCTTTGGATTTAGTGGCCAAGACTGGAAAGCTGACTCATTTTTTCACACAAATTACACAACATGATCTTCCGGATCAAAACCAATCTCCGTCATCAGAAGTGGACAATACTACGGTTAGTACTACCACTTTGTTCACTTTAAGGTCAGAATATCATGATGACGTTGAGGTTAATGAGGTGTCACAGGCTGGTTCAACTAGCACATGTCTCACTACTGATCTCACTTTGTCTGTGAATTATCTTGATATCTCTACTGCAAATGTTAAGTTGCTTTACAAGACAGTCTGAAGTTGAAATAATTGCTGAAAATGAAAGTCTACTGGATCATGGTGAAATGATTCAGTTTGCAAAAGAACCAGGGTTGTGGCTCGATTTCTCTGGCTTATTGGATTGCTTGTGGACCCAGTGACTGTCAACACCACAATGGGCCATTTGACAAATCTTACCGAACTTTCAGTTGTGGCAAACCAGCAAGACACTGTTCACAAAAACTTTCATCTGTTCCTCTCAATGGCGAGTAATACAATAGAGATTGGTTATTGTATTCACCATCAACAGGGTCAGTTTACTGTTTTGTTTGTAAACTTTTTAAATGTTCCTCGCATTTTGTTAAAAGAGAAGGGTTCAGTGACTGGCGAAATACTATTGTAATTGATCATCATGAAAGAAGCACTACTCACCCAGACTCTATGCTAACATACTGTTGCGTCATCGAGATAACGTGACTATTCTCACGCCCTCTAGTTTCTAGAACTATCTTGTTCCTTCACGAATGCCCTAGCATTTACTAGATAGGGTAGTCTGGTATATTTAAGAGGGTGACAACGTGACGCGGTAATGTGTGTGTAGGTAATGAGTAATTGAACTGCGGTCAGAGAGAGAGGTATTGTTGAAGTTAACGTTCGTTCGTTATAGTGTTTGTTTTAGCGGGAATATTGAAATTAAGTGTATCGTAAAGTTATATTCGGAAAGAATAAACCAGTTTTATTAAGTAAGGACTTGTGTCGCTAAAGTTCCATCGGAACGAAGTTACGGAAAAATCAATTAACAAACGGAGACGTAACAAATTGGTGTCAGAGAGTGGGATAGAAAAAAAAATGAGAAGAAAAATGGAAACGAGAGGCGGAAAATCAAATTACAGCTTATCACTCTTGATGGCAGCAATACAAAAACAATAATAGAAACAAGAAGAACGAGAAGAGAAATTACAACAGTTGTTAGAGAAAAAAGAAAAGAAACAAGAAGAACGAGAAAATAAACAAGAAAAGAAACAAGAAGCACGAGAAGAGAAATTACAACAGTTGTTAGAGGAAAAAGAAAAGAAACAAGAAGAACGAGAAATTAAACAAGAAGAGTAACAAGAAGCACGAGAAGAGAAATTACAACAGTTGTTAGAGGAAAAAGAAAAGAAACAAGAAGAACGAGAAATTAAACAAGAAGAGTAACAAGAAGCACGAGAAGAGAAATTACAACAGTTGTTAGAGGAAAAAGAAAAGAAA